CGTGTCGCGCAGTCAACCGCCTGCCCTGTTGCCGCGGGCCCACGCGCGACCATTGCCCAGTGCCCGCGTCATTCACTTGAGCGGCCGAGCCGTCGAGCGCGCCCTGCGTCGCTCACTCGCGCCCACGATGCCCCGCTGTCGCGCACAACCACGACCAGAAATTGGGGGTCGTTCACTTGAGCTGCCGTGCACGACCACGACCGCATCCTGCGCCTCTCACTCGCGACCCTGGCTGAAACTAGTGGGGTCGACCCGAACCTGAGTAGTGTCGGATCAATTTCGGATTTGACCCAAATCCGACCTGTGACCTGAAATTGACACCCCTATATAAAACAATTGTTTTTCTTTAAAAAAAAAAATCCAACGCTATAAAATTTGGCCTTCTTTTTCCTTTCTTTGCCTCTGCAAATTACAAAAAGATTAATATTATTATATTAGCAAACAGACGAATGCAGAACCACTTGTCCTTCGAAAGAGAACCAATGGCGATGAAATAGAATCGATACCCATCCCTCATCATCGCAAACCCTAGGAATTATTGCACTCCGTTCCTGTCACCATATCCATTTCCACTCAATTACCATTTCAATTCGATCTCGTCGCTGACGATCATCTATAGTGTCAATTTTGTCTCTGCCATTTCTCTGCAGACAGTCGAATTCGTTTTATTGCCGATTTATAGCGAATTCTATCCATAGTCCACTCAGAAGTCACGTAGATTGTCATTTCAGCGATGAATCTAGGGGAGAATAACGCGTGCGTGATCGCCGGAGTACTGTTCCTTGTCAGCATCGTTTTTTTGAAGCTTGTCTGGGGTTTTGTGGCGCCCAATTCGAGAAAAAGGCTACCCCCGGTTGTAAAGACATTTCCTTTGATCGGAGGGCTCATTCGGTTCCTGAATGGGCCTGTCGTGATGGTCAGGGAAGAATATGCGAAGCTTGGGAGTGTGTTCACTCTCAACTTGCTCCACCGGCGCATTACGTTCTTCATCGGGCCAGATGTCTCGTCTCACTTCTTCAAGGCGCCGGAGTCGGATCTAAGCCAACAGGAGGTGTACCAGTTCAATGTCCCTACCTTTGGGCCTGGGGTGGTATTTGATGTGGATTACTCCGTGAGGCAGGAACAGTTCAGGTTTTTTACGGAGGCGTTGAGGGTTAACAAGTTGAGAAGCTATGTTGATCAGATGGTTCTTGAGGCTGAGGTTTGCTTAAATCCTTATACATATTATTCAAGGATCGATTTAATCAAGCATGCAGGAGCATTCTGCCATTTTTCATAGATCCTTAGATCTGCATGTTCATGAATTTGTTTCATGCCAACAAATAATAAGTCATACTTCTTAGCTTTTGTATTGTTGAGTGTAATCTTGGTTCTTAGGAGTGTTTATGCTGGCAATTGGAGCTCTTTGGCTACAAGTAGAATTTAGTTCTAATTTGATTTAATCTTACAGATAAATCCTGAATGTTGTATGGCATGATAGAAATTTTTTTCCTGATTAAATCTTTGTAAACTATTTGATAGTTTTTCAAGATTTGCGGTTTAAATAAATGAGAAAAAAAGGACAATCAGGAAAGATTGTGTAAATAGCTCAATTCACTTACCTCAGGATTTAATAAATTCAAGTTATAGCCAAAAATGGGAGGAAAAAGGGGCCTAAGAAGACAGTAGGGTTTATGTGGCTCAAAAAACAGTTGGCAAGATTTAGCTTAAATCTTGGCTAAATCTTGCAAGTAAATAGCCAAATGTGAGTTGAGCTTTGGAGCAGTTATTGAGTAGAAGTTTCTTAGACATCGTTAAGGAATGCTTTATGCTGTTTAGTTATGCTTTCCAGGATCATAGAATTAATTTTTGGGCATTTGATAAGAGATTGGCCACCGCTTTGAGAAACTAGCTTTATGAAGGCAAGAAATAACTCTCTGGTAATAATGAGTCAAGTTGATTTCTTAGACAAGTATATTTTTGGATTTCAGCTTTCCACTTTTGGAAAACAATATTCGGATCAGCCCCTTAATTTGAGTTTAGTTTAAAATTAAATATTAAATTAGGTTTATTAATTGATTCATTAAAAATATATTGCTAATTAATCAGTTTTAAAATTTTTATTTCATTTAAATTCTTAATTAAGATAATTAGGGAACATTTAGGCTAATTAGGGGTTAGCTCCTAATTAGATAACATATTAGGCTTATTAGTAATATATTATTTAACTAATAGTTTAATTAGTTTACTCTGAATAATTATTTATCAAGATGATAATTTATTCTAATTAGTCATATATTAATTTGATTTAATCATTTATTAGATTTCAGCCTGTTTTTAGGACATTAAATTAATTAGATTAATTAATTTAGTTAAAGATTAATCAGGATAATCACTGGTAAATTATTCTAATCAGTCATACATCAACAAATTAAAAACAATTAGTTTTGTGAATTAGAGATTAATCGATTAATAAGGCTAATAGTTCATCAATTAAGAATATGATAAACTGTACTGATTTAGTGATGTATTGATGAAATAATAAATAAATTAAATAATGATTAGTAAAGTAATTTCATCTTGCATTTTTTTTTGTCATCCAACACATCAATTCCACAATAGTTTTAACTAGCTCTTATAATATTTGCAACAATTTTAACATTATTTTCACTTGGCAATCATCTGTTTTACTTAACATCGTAACACAACACTAAATAGCAAAACACAGTGAATGAAAGCATTGCTAAACAGAGCCATAGACATGGACTAAACTTGTCGAGCGTTGCTCATAGACTTGGAGATAAAGTTTAAACATTCATATACCCACAGTTAAATTTTAAGGAGAGGCATGGAATCTAAACCCTACTAGTCAGGCACTTTTTTATTTTATGTTAATGTCAGTCTTGCACTTAATTTTAATGCTTCGGCTTTGCGTCATGTTGAGTCAGAACTTAGGTTTTTTGCTGCTTAGAAGTTTATTTCACCATGTCTAATATGATTTTGGCTTCAGTTTGTTGTTGCGTACAAATGGTCATGGAAGTTGATCTATAGGTTTTCATTTTTTTGTTAGATTAATGATATCGTGTAACTATGTAGGATTGCTTTATTTCCTTAAATTACAGGGCTGTATTGGATTTTGTGTTGTATATGTATAATATTGGCTCTAAAAATATGTTTTTGCAATTTTTGAAGGGTTCTTCTTCTTTATGTTTAATTCCATTTCAGTTTCACTTTTATAATATGTTTCACATATGAACTTAAGAATTTTCTGAATTTTGAAGTTGTTGCTTCTGATCTATGCTTGGATCTTTTTTCTTTTTTACCTTGTCATATAATACTCTCTGGTGTACTGCTTGAAGTTGAAGGAGCAGTTACACATTGAGTGATAACTCTCGCCAATCATGGCTGACAAATTATTAGTTCTCTTAGGTTTTTCACAGTTTAATATATCCCGTGATACATTATAGTAATTCATAATATTCTTCGAGTATTGTAAAGACCACCACCACTAACAAAATGACTACTCCTTTAAGGTTGGCACTATATGATGGAAAAGGAAAATTATTTTCATCTATGTTCTTTTTATGAGAACAAGATTTTAGATTATTTGGAATAGATTCCCATAATGAAAAGGGGGTAATGTTTACATTAGGCTCTTGCCGACTAAAGGGGAAGGGAGTGAAAAAAGGAAGGGTGTGGTGGGGATTGAAGGTTTGATGCATGCATTGTGCTTTTCTTTATGGAAAGGATGGTTTGATTTCCTTGGCATATTTTCAGATTCAAGATTCTGGAACTCCATATCTCGAGGGAGAAGTCACCATTTCACTAAAGCCTACCATTTTAAACTGATCTCTTTACTCATCTATTTAGTTTTTTAAAATTTGAACCTATATTTACTTTACTTTGTATGAGCTTTTTGTTCCTTTGAAATTTTCTCATGCAAATGCAGTTATTATTCTTTTTTACAAATTCATTAGAATCAAGATCATCATCATTAGCCTTATACTAATTAATTGGGATTGGTTTTATGTCCTTATTTTTTATTCTACCACGGCGATTTGTGCATGAGATTTTAAATTTGTTTTGAGCAAATTTTTTTGCTAAGCTTATATGTAGGTTACCTTTAGTCTATTCTTTTTTCTTCCAGATATTTTGAGATTAATTTTACATTACTCATTTTATCGATGCATTTCTAGCATTCATTGCAATTGCTGAAACCTCTTGGATTTATCTTTCACTGCTTTTTCTTTAATAGTTGTTACTTACCTCATCCCCCCTCCATTATAATCATTTCTTAATATTATCATTCCTAGTTTCTCTACATCCATCTTAACATTCTCATGTTTATCATATATATATATATTAATCTTTTCTGTCAATGATATCTTTACTATTGAGCACTCATATCCATACAACATAGATAGTGTAATTGTATTCATGATGTTTTTTTAATAATATAATACACTTGGTGCATTTCTCTATTTCAACTATCTATACTTTAAAGTTACAACTTTGTCTACATTCACTGTTCTTCTGTATCTCTCATATCTATTAAAATTATAAATCATTTACTTAAGTCCTTATTTTACTAATCCTTAGCCCGGCCCCTCACTATTTTAACTATGTTTTGTTGAAGCTTAAGTTAGGCCCAAGTCAGTTTAAGTTCTTAAGCCCAACCAAACACCTCATTTTGAGATCCCTTAAACCAATCATTGTAAACCCAGATGAGCTAGGTGAACTGTGAGCTTAAGCTTAATCATTAATGCTTCTCTATGGTGATAATTAAGTTAATTTAAATTAAAATAAATTTAAAATTCATTAAACTAAATTTGAATATCATTAAATTTATAATTATAATTAAGTTTTCTATATTTATACAAATCTTGGCAATCTAAAACTCGGAATTTTCTCAAAGCTTCTTATAAAAATCTCGATATTTTTTCTTGTTAAAAATGCAAATTGTATGTGTTAAGGAAGTTGCTGTTATGAGTTAAATTTTTAATTGTGTTCATTTTAGTTGATTTATAATTTATTTTCTTATTTGTCTTAATTTAGTTTTAGTTCACTGAAAACTTGCCTTTGATGATGCTTTTATTAGCAAATGGGTTGCATTATCCTTAGTTCACTATTGGTTCTTTTGCTACTTGGTATTGATTCTCTCTCTCTTGTATATTATTAGATAAAGATGATCCGTTCCTTGACATTTCTTGTTTGTGTTTTGGTGCTCCTATTGAAGACTACATATTTTGTGTTTGGATATGTAATACCCATGTATGTGGGTTGGGGGCATTGTTGAGAATGTCAAGACATGTGCTTGGATAAATATTTCCCTGCTTTCGGGCCTTTCCATGCAACCTTTTGGTAGTAGTTCTCTTACAATCTGGGTGCTATTTGTTGGGAATGTTTTTGCAGATTTAATTTGAAATTATGTTATTTGGGGAGAACCCTTTGGAAACATATCAATTTTACCCACATTAATAAGAAATTGAATTAGTAACCTTTTCACTTGAATGTAACATGGTTAGAAGAAAATAAATTTATCATGGGAGGAATAATCAAGATACATTCTAGGGTGATAATAAAGCTTATGGAAATTATAAACATCAATTTTATGTTTTAGATGGTTTCATAACTAAGAAGGTTAAACATCAAGATGTTTGTATTTGATGGAATTTTGTTTATCTTTATTTTATGGGTAATATACATGAATAATTTCTTTGAATGAAAAACATTATTTGGTGAACATCAAGAGTGATTTACAAAATTGAAATTAATTGGATGAGCTACAATGTATTGGTTGAGTATCCAGAGAAACAAAGAGAGAGATTGGATAGAGAACCTACAACTACTTAGGCTAGAATGAAAGAATTGTTAAAAAATATTAAAATTTATCATATCATTTTTGACTTCTTCATGAATTTAATTCATAAAAACAAATGAAAAAAATTGTAATTAAATAAATGAACAAAGTTGAGAAGTTGTTGCTATGTTATGAAGAAGATCCCGAAACAATGCCATCCAAATTTAGGTTTGGTTTGATGCATAGTATCAAAAGGGATGACATCATATTATATTTTCTCACTTAAACATACTTTCAAACGTGCATTAGATTTTGAACTAATGCTAAAATTTTGTGCACCTAAAAGAGCTATTACAATACTAGAAATGCTTCTTTTCGTTAAAACAATCAAACGCAATTTGCAGCACTCACTACATCTAGAG